TAGCGCATATCGTCTGCATTAAATGTCCAAAAGTCTTTGACTTCCCTAATGAGCTACAACTGCACGAATCTCTTGTTCATGGAACTGAATCACCAGTGCAGTGCCCCTGGTGCAAAGAGTATCACCCAAGGGAGGTATTTTATAAACACTTGCGATCTAAGCACAGCAATTCCTATTCTAAATATTTTCCGAGAAAGCGAATACGTAACCGCGAATCGGGTGAAAATACCTCGTTTCGTTGTGAGCATTGTGAACAGTATTTCTCATCTGTCCTCGAGTTAGCCGATCACATTCAGGAGCATACATTTGATTGCCCAATATGCTCGATGAGCTTTAAAAAACATGGCACTTTCAGGGCACATGTAAAACGAATACACAATCATTCTATAAGTAGCTTAAGAGCTTTAATTTCTGAGGAGAAGGAAGAAAATAAGCCCTTTCAATGTTCCTTGTGTTCAAGACAGTTCAATAAGAAAAGATCTTTTCAAGATCATATGAAACGTAAACATAATCAAAGTATGAAAAGGCTTCCCGAAGATGACGAAGAGGATAAACTGTATAACTGTCCAATCTGTAGTATGTGCTTCAAAAGCCATAGTGCCGTCTATTATCACAAGAGGCGGAAGCACCCCGACAGCGCAACAACAACTGAAGGCGATATAAATGCAAGCAGTAATATCGATACTGAAAAAGTGGAAAACGAGAATACCGAAAGCAGTGAATTAATTAGATGTAAATTTTGCAATAAGGAAATACCTGGTAATCGAATAAAATATCACGAAAAACGACATATTTATGCTCTGAACAGGAAAAGAAAATACCTGTGTTCATTTTGCCGTAAGTAGAGACAGAATTTAAGCTACCTGTATGGTTAAATCAAATTATTTGATAACTTATTTTAAGCAATTTAACATATCTTGAAATTTAAACTTATAAATAAAGCACCGTCCCGTATATACAAACACTTGTGGTCAGCTGATTAAGTCAACTGATATTTTGACCAGTTTTGATGTGGATATTTTTCTTTTGTTTATTTAATGTTTATTATTTTTTTCATAACAGTCTGGCACATTACATATATAATAAGCGCCATATATATTAATGGCTGAGTGGAATATCGACCAATCTCGGCAGCCAGTTCGAAAACACCTTATCTCAAGAAAAACCTTTCAAGAAGGCACTTCTTCAGAATTTGATTGAAGAACGCCCTATTTTAGAAATTTATTGAAAACACCCTATCGCAGAATTTGGTTGAAGAACGCACAGAGGGAGAAATGGCGAGAAAGCTGTCCAATATTCCAAAAATTAAAGTTGTGCGGCTGTTTCAAAACATGGTAATTTGTCAAGAAGAAGGTCCATTGCGTAGTGGATGAAAAGTATAAGGGACCCTTTTTTGCATCTTCTTCACTAGAGTAGTTTGAATTTGCTATTCTCACTAAAGTTTGTGCTGCTTTTCTCAACGTCTATAAAATTGTGCTTCGAATATTTGATTTTAAAATAGTGGCTGAAGCACTTAATTCTGTTTTTTTTGTTTTTGGGAGATAGAGAGCGTTTCTGACGGTATCTTAAGTAATCTAAATCATTAAATTTAAATTTTCATACAAGTAAAAATATCTAAAAATTAATTGTAAGAGCTGTCTCGAATATTTTTTTATTTGATTGTTGAAAAAGCTCTGATCGCGGAAGATAATAGCAAAAACAACTTACTTCAAGAATTAAAAAAGAAAGTAACCACATTCGTCCACCTTATGTTGTATTGTAAGAATAGCGCAATAATATGCTAACTGCTCATTGTTTTGTGTGGGAAGCTTACCAAATCGCTTTCTTTGCAATAGGCAAAGAAAGAAAACGTGATAAATTCATCAACTTAGGCTTAAATGAAAGCTAGATCTCTTGACTACGCTCCTGAAATACCACCCCAGTACCTTAACCTGATGGTCACTTTTGGTCATTTAATGAAAAAAAGTTAAAATGACTACATATAAGTGACTTGGGTCAAGATGCAGGGTCAAGGACAGTAGTCGAGAGTTCTGGCTTTAATTTAAGCCTGAGTGGAAGGTTTTATCACGTTTTCACTTTTTCCTAGAGCTTCTCAAATATTTCGGAAAATGTGATTTTTTTACACTGTGATTTCGTTTTCACAAAATAGGGCGTTGTTGAAAACATTTCTGAAATAGAGCATTTCCGAACTGGCTGCCGAAATAGGTCGATCTTCCACTTAGCCATCGTTATGTAAATCCTCATTTAAAAATGTATACAAAAATTATAAAAATTCAACAAATTTTACCAATTCCACCAAAAAATTCAAAATTTTTTCAAATTTTAGATATAGAGTTTTTTAGGATAAGATGTAAGTTTCCACACGTTTGAAAATCGCGTTGAATTTTAATAATTTGTTAGCTGGTGGTGTTGAGCATTTCCTTCCATATAAAGTGTGCTCTACAATTTCTTTTATAAATTATAAGAAATCAACGCGCTTTTCGAGTGTCTTTGTACATTATTCCACATACATAAATTTTTCTAAAAATTCTGAATAAAAATGTCACTTAACTTGAATCAGCTAACCAAAAGGGTTATTAAATTTGTATGTACCCTGTAGGAAAAGTTACTAATTCTGAACTAGAATGCTGCCAGTTTGCGTTTCAGCCCAACTAGTTCACAGTCTATAATTTTTCAATGTAAGCGACTGGTATTTTAAACTTGGCGGGGTCACACGAGATGCCGCTCCTGTCAAAGGAATAATTATGCAATTTTGCGCGCGGCGCTCCAACAGTCGCAACTTGAGAGGCGCCATTTGAGAGCTCCGAGTTCGAATCCGGCGGTAGAGAATTTTTTTAATATAATTTATTTAGTTTTTTCGTTTATTTTCTTTTTATTAATTGTATAGTTTTAAAAAGAAAAATTATTAATTTTTATGGTATTTTGAGTATTTACGTTTTATTTAGGTTAAATTTACAATTTTTAATTTGCATATATTTAAATTGAAATAATTGACTTACTTTACTTTATTCACCTCCAAGCGGGCTCGAACTTGAAATATCAGAAACAGTGGTCTTCACTCGACGCTACAGCCGATATTTGTGAAGAAACCAATTAAATGCATTTTTAAATTTAATATTTTTATTGAGCTTTGTACCACGATTGTTTATTAGGAAAAATTGAAAGAGCAACAAAGTCTAAGCGGTAGAAGTTATAGCAGCTATTTCGGAGATCACCACATCTCCTCATCAGACTTCTTTCTGCTGAAGTCTAGAAAAAAACATTCACAAACTGCATTTTAGTTTTGGTATATAATTCAAATACAGATGTCACTGTCACAGTTGTTCGTAGGTCGTCGCTTTAGCACATAGTAGTTAATTAACTAGTATTTTACTGGCTGGTTTGGCATTTTATTGCGGAGAACTGGTATAATTATAGTCCATGACGAACTGGTATAACTTCCTCATTTAATACCAGTTTTTGAACTAGAATTTCTACCAAATAGTTTATCTTTTTCTACGAGGAACTGTTATAATAATAGTTCATAACGAACTGATATGACTTTTATCCTTAAATAATAGTTGATGAACTGGAATATGTGCATACTACTTCAGCTTTTCCCTGCAGGGTACTTGTGTGAACTACTACTTTAAGAAAAATCACTGACTAATTCTTAGCTTTGGATTTGTTTATCCTTTTCAGCGCGAGAATATAATTCTGAAACTTCGGTTAAGTTACATGAAAAGAAGATTCATCTGCGCGAAAAGCCCGAACCGAAGGAGTGTCCAATATGTCAGAAAAAAGTCGATCCACATTATCTTAAACATCATATTGACAATGTTCACACTTCAGAACGTAAGTTTGTCTGTGATGTTTGCGGCGATTCGTTCAAAAGTTACGTTCTGCTTCACAGTCATAAGCGATTGCATTTAGAGCGAAACTTTCCGTGTACGGTATGTACTAAAAAATTCATACGCTCCTTTGATCTCAAGGTACATATGCGTATTCACACTGGGGAAGAACCGTACTCATGTCATATATGTGATCGACGTTTTAAAATCAAAGTACGACTCAACTATCACTTGCAGCGACACGCTGGCATCAAACGAAAATGCAAAGAGTGCGGAAAAGAGTTTAATCACGTTAAACAATTGAAAATACATTCTTATAAACACACCGGCATGCCCTATAGGTGCTCAGTGTGTGATTATGCTTGCGCACAACGTGATGTGTAAGAAGTTGAAAATTCCTATGTTACGCAATTATATTATTTAATTTATTGTAACTCAAATATTTCAGATTTAGGAAGCATTTATTGCGAATGCACGATATGACAATGACCCCGGATGAATATTGTGCGATGTTTAAGGCAAATACTGGTCGGAATCCCCACGTTAAAACTCTGGAGGAATTGCAGTCGGAGGCGCAGAATATGGAGCAAGAGGAATTATCAAACTAACGTTTAAAATTTCGGGCCTAAGTAGCATAATGGCGAAATTGTTGGTATGTTAATGACTTGAATAAATTTAGCTTGTTTTACCTAATTGTATTATTTTATTTTATTTTTTTTGCGAAACGAATAACAAATAAAACTAGTTTCTTATTTGGTTGACGAATCAAATCGCAAATAAATTTTATTCATGATTTGATTCGTAATTTAAGATTTGATGCAACTTTCAATTCAGAAATACATTTTATTTTTGGATTTACGTTTTTTTTATAGAAATCCCACCTTAACACGGCAAAATATAGGTAAAAGCCGAAATTTATATATGGGTCATTCCATCGAAAAGAGGGAAACGACATAAATTTAAATATGCCCTTATTATCTCTATTTCTGTAGTAATCTATTTTTAAATGACTACATTTCATTAACCTGTGGGAAATATTAAAAAAAACCCAAAGTTGTAATTTTTGTCTATGGAAACTTTTATTTCATGCATAATTACTTTACAGCAGTCACAAGGAGATGTCCCACCAGTCACAAGTTTAAATATTTTTTAATATTTCTGTGAAGAATAAATAAACCTCATTTTTATTGAAAACGAAAGCGTATAATTCTTATTTTAAAACTTTGTACGTCGTTCGTGAAAATTAAATGTTTTGGCTAAAATTCATCTTGAGTGACGAACAAAAGTATTGACGGTGAATTTTTCGCGATATATGCAACGTTTTTTATTCTTATTTATTTGTGATTTTTATAAAAATATGGTTCATAATAATAATAATCGCGTTGATTTTTGGCAATTTTTTTCACGCAGGTTCTTCCACACAAAGTATGTCCGACAATTACTTTTTGTATGGAGATGTTCCACCTTCCACTAAAAAAATTGCAAAAAATCAACGCGATTTTCTAGGAACTTCAAACTTGCACGTCCTTATACTAAAACTACTACGACTGGGCTATAAAACTGCACTCTTAGAATTTTTCTAAAAAATCTGAATAAAAAGTTGCAAATTAGTATGCAAATTTATTGAAGTTTCCCGAGTTGTTCACAAACTTTGGAGATTTGATTGTTATGTTTTTTGGTGGAGTATGAACCATATTTTTATTAAAAATTATCGCAAATAAATAAGAATAAAAAACTTTGCATCTATTGCGAAAAAATCACTGTGCCAATACTTTTGCTCGTCACTGTATATCTGTTTACTTTAAAAATTTTTCAATTAAAATACAGTTCATGAACCCAAGCTTATAACTTTGTAGAAAATTAAAGAAAACGCAACAAATTTTCATCAAAATTTCTAAGTTTTCTCAGAACTATTTTTTTGAGTAGACAGTTTTATTGCCCATTCAATTTTAGTCTGATAACACTGGAAATTAGTGTTCTTTTTTATTCTACGGATGCCCCTATCCATTCTGCATGTGGTATCGCCCGCTGATTCCGAAAATAGAGTTAACTTTTTATTCTATGAATAAGTTTTCGAGATATTTTCAATTTACCGTTATTTAGCTTAAAACAAAAAAAAAATAGTTCCACTTCATCACATATATCTTGAATCGTATCGTAATACGAAATACGGCAAATCAAAGCTAAAGAAATTCTCCATGAACCGTATTAATTAATCATACCATATATATATTTTTTTTTTGATAAAAAATGAAAGAAACTGAAATTTTAATAGGTGAAAAGTTAAAAACAAGTAATTTTTAGGAAAAACCCGACTTCAATTCTCATAAAAATATGTATATATATATATATATATATATTTCATGATCCAATGATCGGTTCTTAACCAGATTAGTATGGGACTACGCCTGAGACACTATCTTTCCGATGCAAAAAGAATTATCGAAATCGTTGACGTGGTCCAAAGTTATGCGGTAACATACATAAAAAAATATACATATATATATATATATTCCGACGAACTGATAACTCCTTTTTTGGAAGTCGGTAAAAAAAAACAGATTTTGTGAAAATTTTTGCATTTTGTGTTAAAGCCTGTTCTGGTATAAAAAAATTAAGAAAATTGAAGGACAAATGAAGAAGTAATGAGTGGTCAAATGAAAACGAGCATTTATTTTTTGTATGAACAAGTAATTTTTAGCAAAAAAAAACCGACTTAAAAAAAATATATATATTTCTTGATCCAATAATCGGATTTAACCCAGTATGGGACCACCTTTGAGGCACTACCTCTCCGTTGCAAAAAGAATTATCGAAATCGGTTGACGTGGTCCAAAGTTATGCGGTAACATACTTAAAAAAAAAATATTCCGACGAACTGATAACCTCCTCCTTTTTTGGAAGTCGGTTAAAAATTAGGAGCAAATAATGTTACCCATACGCCATGTGTACTCTTTCCTGCCCATTTTTTATACCAAAATTTTTTACGCATTTTTTTCACCACTCATTCCTTTTTTTATTTAGTCATCGATATTCTTCACTAGTACCTTGACTTGTTCGTAAGAAACCAGGCTTTAACACAAATAACAAGAAATTTACACAGAAACTGTTATTTTTAAAATTTTTCATTTGTTAAAGTTTGATTTTTTTATTTTTATCATTAAAAAACAAAAAATTTGGAATGGTTAATTAATTTCTCATAAACTATCAGTCCTATCGGAACTTATGGAGAATTTTGTTAGATTTCATTTGCCGTATTTCGTATTACGATAGTTAAGTGGAACTATTTTTCGTTTTAAGCTGAATAACGTTAAAATGAAAATATCTCGAAAACGTATCCATAGAATAAAAAATTTACCCATTTTCGGAATCAGCGGGCAATTCTATATAGGTATTGGATAGTGGCACACATTGAACATTTGTGCTGTACCCCAGTGCAATGTGCAAGTTTAAGCGGCTAAAAATTACCGTTGATTTTTTAGATTTTTTTTTGTCGCATTTGATTCCATATAACGAATAAACACCCGAAACCGGGATCCACAAAATGGTCCGGGGTTGGATGCCTAATACCATGTTCGGACTCACAACGAAAATACTGAAAGATGTTCGCACCGGCTGGTAGTGTTTTCGTTGACATTTCTTTTATACTTTCTTTACAGTTTTGCTACGAAAAACGAAATCAATATCTTTGTCTTTCATTTTCTTATCATTAGCAACCTTTTTCTTTTGTTCATATTAGGGATTTAAAAAAACATCGATGTATCGAGCATCATCGATGTTTGTCGATGTTTTAAGTACGTAGTTTCATGAAATCATGCCCAATTAAGTTCCTTTAACAAATTCTTAAATTCCAATTAAGAAAGATGGATTAGGGATTTAAAAAATCATCGATGTATCGAGCAACATCGATGATCGTTGCTGCGATGTTTTGAAAAACGTCGAAGATGTTTTTACTAATTTTTCACCATTTCGTTTAACAAATTCTTAAATTCCAATTAAATGTACTTATAGATTAAGGAATAGTCTAATTGCTTTAAAACTAGTGAAATTGAAAAATTACTTAGCGTCATCACTCATTTTGCCAAACGCCATCAGATGAAAAGCCGGAAGGCCGCTAAAAAACAACTCGTATGCCGTTCTAAACAAAAATGTCAATACAATTACCTAATACTAAACACACCACATATTGACAAGCTTTAAAAATTAATGTTTAGCGTATTTACTTGTAATTTTTTATAAAAATGTAGTTCATTATTAAACAAAAACTATAAATCCAATTCAAAATAGTGTGCAATATTTAAAAAAAAACAATCGGTAAAAAACATTTGTAATTTGTCGAAACATCGATTCTTCAAACATTGATAGTTTCATTGATTTACAACCCTAGTTCATATTTTAATTTGGCTAGCCTAGGGTTGGAAAAATCAATTCCGATTCCACTCCAGAATGGAAGATTTTTTTCGAAATAGTCGATTTTATAGAACCGATTCTAAATTTTCGGAATCGATCGAGAATCGATTCTGAGCACTAGATTCTCTTATTTTTCATACATCTTTATACCATGTTCTGACCGACATCGAAAACATGTTTTCGTTGGTAAAACTGGTTTTCGACCTTAAACTATGTTCACATATCAATATTATCTCAATCAAAGCTCGTTTTTTAATCACCCCGTTTACACAGGCAAATCTCAGATTACTAGCCGTCAAATTTGTTGTGCTTGTTATTCTCACATCTCAAGGAAAAGTTATGTTTCTTCTCTGTGCCACCGTGATCACGTTTGTATGCTATAANGAATAAATAAAGATTTGAGAATCGATTATTTTTCAAAACTCCATTCCTAGGCCAGCCAATTGACAATAAATCCCAGCTAGCGAATTAAAGATGATAAAATATGACTTCCAGTTCGATAAATATGTCTAAAATACGAAAAGACAAGTTTTAGGTCCAAAACCAGTTATAGCCGCGAAAACATGTTTTCGATGTCGGTCCAAACATGGTATTAGAACTGTCGTTTGCTAATCGTTGTGCATGCATTGTTTGTTTACATTTTATGGGGAAAATTAGTGAAAAAGTGAAAATTGCATAAAAATTATAATTTTTTGCATAAAATCTGTGGAAACTATTAAAAAGTGGATAATTGCAATAAAATTCAATAAATTTGCGAACTTAACTACAAAATATGACGAAATTTTAAAAAGTCTCTACGAGCGTGCACAAAACTCAATTCAGGAAATGAAAAGAAGAGATATTACTGAAAATTTATGGTTAGAGTTGTTGCAGCACAGTCCATATTTTAAAAATTGTAGGTTTTTCTGAATATTTCGCAAAAATATCAACCAGAAGAACAGAAAATACCTGATTCAAGTGAATTTTTAGACGCCAAATGAATTGAAATATCACGACCGAGTGTGCGAAAGTGTAGTTGTCATGTAATCGTTGCATCGTGATTGTGACGATGAAGCAACTATAGTTGCGTTCCAGATGCTCTCCATATTCACGATATTTACGATTTGCAGTTTTTTTTTTTTGCAGAAAAGCGTTCCAGGTGCCAAAAACCTGCAAGTCAAACCACTTTTGTGAGAGTAACTTGCTCTCTCCCTCAGTCAGAAGTTGCAGGTTTTAGTCCGAAGTTTTTCTTCCCGCAAGTTCATGAAAAGTGTCAAACGATAGGCAGGGTTGCATTTGTAAGCAAAAACAGATAGCAAAGAACATTAAGCGCCACGGAGACAATGAAATAAATACATCAAGCATTGCATATGTGTGAGATTGCCTCGTGTCTTGCCCGCAAACGTTCAAATAAACGCATTAATTCAACAAACAATTTATTTTTATTGTCCGCGCACTTGCTCACCACGACGATCAGAAGGCAAGTGCGCTTGTTTTTTGTCAAGCAGAACGCGAGACGGTTGATAAAGATATTGGATCGTCTCCATGGCGCTTAACATTAAAAAAAAAATGGATGTTGTTACAGGAAAAGTGGTTTTTCGCGTTCCAGATGACTTATTTTTTCTTTCTTGCTCCTCTCTTTCAAGAGAGTAATTTTGTTATTTGACAGTTTTACAGGTTTTTACACGAAGTTATCTGGAACGCAACTTATGTATGATTACACGATTAATGTGCAGAAGTCAATCAAAGGTACATTAGGGCTGTTCAGGATCTTGTGCATATGCTCATGGATTTGTATATTCGTTGCATTTGTAAATTCACAACAATAACATGCACACGGTTGCCGTGGCAAAAATGCAATTACAACTGCAAATCCAGGGGCCGAATCACGGCTCTCGTGAACGAGTGACTGGTCGAGTAGAGAAAAATTTCGATTCGAATCGAATAGGCAAATCATGGCCCTCGATTCGCAAGCTAGCGAAATTTCTTCGATTATTAATCGGTTGCCAATTAGTAAATGTATCATCTTTAACCATTTCTCAAACGTAAACAAGAAATAAAATATTCATATCAGTTATTATAAAATGAATATTTCAGTATTTTTTTATTCGAGCTCATCTTATTCTGATAATGAAGTCAGACAAGTGCAGATACGGAGAGGATTACGTGGCAAAAGCAATCCCTTAAGTTTACCAGCAGCAGCGTAAGTTTTAACGATTCTAACCTTTCTAGTAGGTATTTGTTTCATACGTTAAAGTTCTTTATTTGCAGATTCAAAAAACGTTTCCGACTGTCAAAACCTGCGTTCGAGTACGTGCTTTCGGAGCTTGAGTTTGAGGGGCATATGTCCACATCAGTACCCTCCGTCTTGCAATTAGCTGCTACGTTATCGCTTTTGCAGCAGCAGCTCCTCGGACGCCGTCAAAAGCTTTTCTTGGTAAGGCCCACTTCCGGTCTTTTGCTTAGAAGCTTTATTAAAAGACAGCTTCTTTTTAAAGTGCTGCTTATGGTCTGCAAATACCTACAATTTTAAGCCAAATAATACACTAACTTCTGATTATATAAATTCAAAACAACCTACTTTACGCCACATTTTAAGTTCTTTTGTAGGCGGACCAACAGAATTTAATTTTAAGGAAAGTTGCTCCCACAATCTTTGAGCAACGGTTCTTCCTTGAGCGCAATTTGGCAGAATATTTCTGGCCAAATCCGGGTGCTCCTGCATATATTCCGCCATAATACTTTTTTGTTTTTTGTTGATTTTGTTTATGTTTGTCCTTAAATATAAAAAGATATTAAAGTTTGCAATAGTTTTTACTAGAAATATACTCACATTTTGTTGTTTTATTTTAATTTCCCACTTCTCGATGCAAAATTTACTGTCGAATGGTGTTTTGAATAATTCTACTCGAACGTCTGCTCGATATCGAATGGGGTGATGCCAAATTTCGATAAATTTTACTCGATCCCGAATGCGGTGATGCCAAAACAGAAAATTTTGAAAAATATTACTCGATCACGAGAGCCGTGATTCGGCCCCAGGACCACTTCCCCAACATCGTGAACAACCCCAGTAATTTTTTATGGCAGTAATATTGAATGCTTAGCGCAAATAATACTTTTTGGATTATTTTCCTAGGTTGATGAGAAGTTGGTAAAAAAATTTAATTTATTAAAAAAAAAATTATAAAACTGAAATCGAAATTTTACAAAGTGATCACTTTATTTTCTAGCTAAAAATCGCGGGGGCTTTTGGCATTTTTTGCTATTAGTGTGACGTATGTTCTTCCATACAAAGTCTGTCCGAAACGTTTTTATATGGAGGAAAGTGTACATAAATAAACTTGTAAAACTTGCCAATAGCTGATGCTCTGAGTTCACAGTATGAAATAGTGTTGTGGAATATTTCTGCTGGAGCTGCAAAACTATCGATAGTTTATATCGCCGTCGATAGTCTCAAAGAAAATAAACTATCGATAGTGCCATCGATAGTTTTGTAACTATTGTTTACTATATTTAGTGAAATTATTAAACGCGTTAAAAAATAAATCAAAATACAATTAATGCACGCAAAATACACGTGAAGGTTGCAAAGTTCGTATATCTTTGAAAATAATAACCGCTCTTTTTGAGTGAAACTTTGCTAGTGAAACTGCACGCGATCTAACAACAAATAAATTAAATACTATTAATAATAAAGTCAAAGAAGTGATAAATGTAAATATATACGTTTCTAAACATCCCCGCCAATCATTGCTAAATCACCCAAAAACCGATGTATGTGTTGGAAAGCCAACACAAAGGATCTTATGTTCCGACATGAGTCAAATAGTTTGTTAACCTTGTATTGAAGTGGAAATAAGTTGTTCAAATATGCAGTGTCGTGCCTGTATGCAAATGGACTGCGTCGGGGCTGTGGAAATGTGTTGTGCCATATCGGCAGATGGGAAAACATTGTGCGATTACTTTAACGATTGCACACAGCTCCATGCAACATCCACTGACAATCTTCCACAACTATTATGCTTAAATTGCACACAAATTGTGCGTTCAGCCTATAATTTCAAGGAAATCGCTCGTCGCTCTGATGAAGAACTGAGGAACATTTTAGTTTTTCCAAAAACTGAGCCTGAAATGATTTATGCCAACACTGAGCAACCGCAAGTATGAAATACACTTTTTGTATTTGTTTAAAAATTATAATTTAATAAAGTCAAAATGCTTTCATTAGGATGCTGTGGAATGGACAAATGATCCCTTAGCTACGGTACAACCAAGCCCTGTTGCTATTGAATCGTCAATGAGCATACCTGAACTAGATATACCTACGATAGACATTAAATTTGAGAATCCTGAGGAATTATGTCAAGAATCACAAGGTGACGAAAGGGGTGATAGTGAAGTATTGAGAGACAAAGTGACGCATCCTTGTAAATTATGTGATTGCATATACACTACAAAAAAGGAGCTAAAAAATCACATTTTTGACATACATAAGCGTAAGTTTTTCTTTTTAATCAATCATAACATTTGTCACATTTAAGTTTCCAATCATATCTGAATCTGGTTAAGTGGATACAGTAATTTCTCTTTGTAGCGCATATTATCTGCATTAAATGTCCAAAGTTCTTTGACTTTCCCAAAGAGCTACAACTGCACGAATCTCTTGTTCATGCAACTGAATCACCAATGCAATGCCCCTGGTGCAAAGAGTATCACCCAAGAGAGGTCTTTAATAAACATTTGCGATCTAAGCATAGCAAGGCCTATTCCAAATATTTTCCGGGAAATGAAATATGTGATCGTGGTTCTGGTGAGAATACCTCGTTTCGTTGTGAGCATTGCGAGCGATACTTCTCATCTGTTCTGGAGTTAGCCGATCACATTCAAGAGCACGCATTTGATTGCCCAATATGCTCGATGAGATTTAAAAAACATAGCACTTTCAGGGCACATGTAAAACGAATACACAATCATTCTATAAGTAGCTTAAGAGCTTTAATTTCTGAGGAGAAGGAAGAAAATAAGCCATTTCAATGTTCCATATGTTCTAAACAGTTCAAGCAGAAAAGATCTTTTCGAGATCATATGAAACGTAAACATAATGAGATCATTAAAAAGCCTGAGGAGGACGAAAATAAACTCTTTCAATGTTCCCCGTGTTCAAGACAGTTCAATAAAAAAAGATCTTTTCAAGATCATATGAAACGCAAACATAATCAAAGTATTAAAAAGCGCCCCAAAGGCGATGAAAAAGATAAACTGTATAACTGCCCAATCTGTAATATGTGCTTCAAAAGCCATAGTGCCGTGTTTTATCACAAAAGGCGGAGGCACCCCTACATAGCAACAACAGTCGAAGACGATATAAATGCAAGCAGTAATACCGATACAGAAAAGGAGGATACCGAAAACAGTGAATTAATTAGATGTAAATTTTGCAATAAGGAAATACCTGGCAACAGAATAAAATATCATGAAAAACGACATATTTATGCGCTGAACAGGAAAAAGAAATACCTTTGTTCATTTTGCCGTAAGTAAAAAGAGAATTTAAGCCGTCTTAATACCTGGTAAAATCAAATAATTCGATAAATTATATTTACGCGAGTTAAGCTTACTATAAATAAATAAATAAATAAATAAATGCATGTACATATTTACGTATGAACTACTACTTTAAGAAAAATCACTGACTAATTCTTAGCTTTGGATTTGTTTATCCTTTTCAGCCCGTGAATTTTATTGTGAAACTTCGGTTAAGTTACATGAAAAGAAGATCCATCTGTGCGCAAACCCCGAACGGAAAGAATGTCCAATATGTCAGAAAGAAGTCGATCCAGATTATCTTAAATATCATATTGACAATGTTCACGCTTCAGAGCGTAAGTTTGCCTGCGATGTATGCGGCGATTCGTTCAAGAGTTATGTGCGGCTTCAGCACCATAAGCGATTGCATTTAGAGCGCAAATTTCCGTGCACTATATGTACAAAAAAGTTCATACGCTCAAGTGAACTTAAAGTACACATGCGTAGTCACACTGGTGAAGAACCATACTCGTGTCATATATGTGATCGACGTTTTAAAATCAAAGTTCGGCTCAGCTATCACTTGCAGCAACACGCTGGCATCAAACGAAAATGCAAAGAGTGTGGAAAAGAGTTTAATGACGTTAAACAATTGAAAATGCATTCTTTCAAACACACCGGCATGCCATATAGGTGTTCTGTGTGTGGTTATGCTTGCGCACAACGTAATGTGTAAGTTTATAGTTCGTTAGCTGCGTAATTATATAACTTAATTTATTATTACTGAAATATTTCAGATTTAGGAATCATTTATTGCGAATGCACGATATGACAATGACTCCGGATGAATATTGTGCGATGTTCAAGGCAAATACTGGTCGGAATCCTCACGTTAAAACATTGGAGGAATTAAAATCGGGCGCAAAGTAAGGATCAAGAAAAATTACCAAACTAAATGACTTAAATGGACAAATTAGCTAAAAGATAAATTATTTCAACAAATTTATTAGACTTTCAGCGCTCTATTCAGCTATCATTTTATATGGGCAATTCTCAATTAGCTCGAATAGTCGCATGACTCTGACAGGTTTTATGCGGACACATAATTTCTGCTCCTTTATTAACAAAAATCAGGTTAACCGTCCTGTTCATAGATGGGTACCCGGGTACCTTTTGCATATTCCACTGCAATTTTTTCATAAACCACTGATACTAAGTTAAAATTTGGTGACATCCTAAAACTTTTAAATTTCCACAAAATGGAGAAAAACTAAATTTAAATATAATTTCATAATTATGGTTTTTTGAGTAAATTAAGTTTTTATTATTAGTTCTAATGGATAGGGTACCTGGGTACCATTAGTAGTTCTCATGTAAATAATAATTCGATACATAACATGTAAAAGAATATAAGTTTTCATACCCGAGCGCACTTGTGCATGAGGATATTTTAACGTTGTTCACATAACGGTTGTTTGTATCAGCCAGAACGATGCGAGGTAGATATACTTAGACAAATCGTCGCCTGGGTAAAAGATTGTCGTATGTTAATTTCGGTAGGTTGTGGGAAATCGCGATTGAAGTTTGGAATACAATTTTCCAAAAACGCGAAGATAGATTTTCTCCAAACTCTCTGAAAATGTTACTAGTTCATAAAACTCTTAAATTATTTAATTTTGCGTGCGAACAAGTCGTGAGGTAAAATGAAGCTTTCGCTGCCTTCTAAAGCAGAGTGTGTATATATACGCGAATATACCCCCTCCTGGCAGGCGCCGCCCAGGTCTGGTTTAATATGACTGCATCACTAACTAAATTTTTACTAAATTATCAAAAAAAAATTTAGTCAATATCTCGGATACTAAAGGAGATATCTAAAAACTGATAACACCAATTGAAAGACTTTATTTCAAAATATATAACTGCATCTAGAACTAAAGAACGTCAAAATGGCGCTTACGACAATCTTTTACCCAGGCGATGAAAATCTATACATAATAAAATTACAGTTTGAAAAACTAAAACCTCTATTATAATTGCCATTCGTACTGTCATCAGCTATGTAACTTGAGAATAGAAATCGCTGCATCTTTTAGGCGCATCAATATTACATAGTTACATCCCGAGGTAATAAAAGGATGGTAAAAAGGTATTCGCACGAGGCGATTTCGCGTTCAACTCATGCAGGCTTGCATGGAAAAAAAGTTGAATGGCTAACAGGCTAACCTAATATTCGNTGGTAAAAAGGTATTCGCACGAGGCGATTTCGCGTTCAACTCATGCAGGCTTGCATGGAAAAAAAGTTGAATGGCTAACAGGCTAACCTAATATTCGCGGCTTGCGTTTTGGTACGCACGC